TCCCATAATGCACCTAAAAATTGTGGTGTTTTTATCACAGCCACGGAAAAGTAACTAACACTGTGTTTCACAGATGGTTTTTGAACTATTTGTCTTAACCCTGGTCTAATCACAGGTGTTTAATAGTGTGCTAATTTGGATGCCAAGGATGAAAAAAGATCCAGACATATCGGAGGCATTTAGTGAGTGTTTGTTAAATGAAAGAGCAAGCTGTGAAATGAGCTCCCACCCTTCATTGTTTCTCATCCAGTGTCTCCATCATCTACGTTGTGTCTGAAGTAGAGTTAAGGATCTGAAGGCACATAGGGTTCTCTTGTTGGCGTCCTACCTGATTCTACAAGATCAGCCAAGACACTGGATGGCACATGGAACTCTAACGCATGGCAGGCAGCGTGAGTGCTATCAATATGGAAGTTGAGATAGTTGAAAGAAAAGGGGGTTTCCACCCATAGATCAGGTAACAGGATTTAAGCTCGCCTGAGAGATGGGTTGAAATATTAGCAGGAGGAAAATAAATGTACCTCTCAAAGAGTGACTAGAAGAATTAGCAAAGCGCTTAGAACCGTGTCTAGCAGGTAGCAAGGATTTTATAGTGCTCAGTAGGCTAAATACATATGTGTGTGTGCACCTATCAGAATTGATGGTGTTTATGTTGTAAATAGAGATATACACATATATCCTCAATAAAGTTTAGTGATGGTGGACTCTGCAATAACTTTGTACGTTGAGTGGGAGGGTATTTAATAGTCTCCACCCTGAGTAATTGGTGATCCATCCTTCCTATCTGTGTCTCTACCGTCTGAGCCAGAAATCAGAAAGTAGAAACCATAGCTTCAACCCACTGACCTTCCCCAGCATACACATCACTTCAGATGTGTGATAACTTCTTATATAGAAGATTAAAATATAGCACAGATATTTTAGTTACTATGATTTAAAGTACAAGGCTGGTATCAGTTACGTGGCATGGGCCTTTCAATAAGAAAAAAAAAATCAACAGTATCTGTGCAAAGGTTCTGATGTAAAATTTCCCAGGGTCACAAAAACATATGTAACGTGGGCCTGGGGAGATGGCTCAGTGGCTAAGGCCTAAGAAAAAAATCCCCAGGACCCACGTAAAAGCTCAGGTGTGATCACACATGTAATTGTAACCCCGGCACTGTGGGAGAGCGGAGACAGAAGGGCCACTGGGACTTGCTGCCTTCCGGTCCAGTTCCCCTGTCTCAAAAAAATGAAGGGAGAAGTAATAGAACATGCTGTGTGCATTCTTCTGGTCTCCACAAGTACACCTGCACATGCTGTACACAGCTCACACACGGCGGACACACACTGACACACAAAAACATAGAAACAAAAATCATTTCTCAGTCAGAATATCCTTCTACTGGACTGTATTTTTCCTGCAGTTTCGGGAATGGTAACTTGAGGATACTGATTGGAGAATTATGCATGAACTTTTAGTAGAAAAGCATTCAAGTAGGAAAATGTGCTCTGAGACTCCATTTAAATAGGTGTATGTCCACGGGGTCATTTGGTATGCAGAGGATATGTTTGCATTAGCAGAAGGAAAAGCTGATGTTTTCCTTGCAGAACCTATTCCAATTGCACCTCAGAAATATAAAAGTTCTTTTTTCTCTCTGAAAAACAGGAGGGCTCCGTGCTGTTTTATTTTAACTACAGACACATTTGACTTCTGTCCACTTACATTTTGAACCGTGAAATTTGTGCTTGTGTTCATTATCCACAATTAGAATTCTCAAAAGACTTTGGGGATATTTTTTTTCTCATCTTTTTTTAAAAATCCATTCACCCTGACACTTAACACTTAAGAGTGGCAATCCTGAGTCAGACTGGAAAACCAAACAAAGAAAGTCGTTTATTGAACTAAGTAAAGTAACCCTGAGCTATCATACTAAACCTCCATTACGGTGAGATACCTGCCCCTGTTCATGCTATCTCGTGATAGTTCAGACTCAAGTGTGCTCCTTTTAGCACACACCATCCTAGAAGTAGGCTTAGTCTACTTACTTGTGCGCTAGACTCAGTTTGTGCAAATGAAACGTGCTTAATCTACCCCCCCCCCCCCCCCCCGTAGCCAAGTAACACACGACTTACGAAGACGGGTCTCTTTCTTAGTGGCGTATTAAAAAGAAATTCTCAGATGCCCAGCGCTGCCGGGGCTGCCGTTTCATCCAGCTGGGGCGGATGTTGTTATTTCTAACTTGGTATTAGCCGGGAAAGTAGAGAGCTAAGCAGTTTCTGAGAGTGGAGTATGTGTCCATGTGTGGAATTATTTTTTTTTCCCCTGTCATTTTAAGATGTAAGTGGCACTGGGGCCTACATGGTATGTGGCTTTGCTCCAGGCAGGGAGTATAAACAGAGCCCAGCCTTGAAATGCAAGGTGTGTCGTAGCTTCATTGGCTTCGCTGTTTGCCCAGCTGCAGGATAACTCCCTTCTCATTCCCCAGCTGCCCAGCTGCTGTTTTCTTTGCTTTTAAACTGGAGTGGCCAACCAGACTTCCTCCAGGTCCAGTGCCGACTGAAAACAGACAATTTTCCAATGGCACATGGTTCCACAGAAGCCGCCACTGCGCGGTTGTTAAGCTTTACTCGGTACTGACTGCATGGTTAAAAAGATAATCACAGTTGATGAGAGCAAGACTCTCTCCATCAGCCCCAGGCTTTACTCTTCCGAATGGTCATCCCGAGTGCGTGCTGTGGGACCTCAGTGAAGTGTTCGCATCCTACCTTTTCTGCCAGCCTAGAGAAATAGCAGCTTAAATGAGTTCATTTATTTTAATGATACATCCAGGTTCCAGTCGATTTTAAAACTCATCTTTCCAAATGAGGAAAGGAGCGTTTATTACTTCAAAACATTACTTTTACCTCAACGTCTTAACGACAACACTTTAGTTACGAAATTGAATCTGGATAGCTTCGTTACTTGTGAGGGAAAGAAAATCTGCCTTCTGTTCATACAGGCATTCTGGGTTGCATTGGAGCATCACACCTACGTGTTTCTCTCAGCAAATATAATTGTACACCAAGTACAAGCCTTCGGAGTTTTCCCAGATACCTAACCCTGCATATAGCACTAAAATTATATGGGGAAACTGACATTTTCAGGGAAATTTTCTTAGAATTTGACTGCTACTATTCTCCTGTAGGTAGGAACGTGGAGATTATAAATAGATTTTATGAAAGGAGTGAACGCCAAGACTTGAAAGATAGCTCAGCAGTTGAAAGCCCTTCCAGCTCTTGCAAAGGACCCAAGTTCAGTTCTCAGCATCCATGAAAGATCGCTTACACCTGCTCAGAGCCCCAGTTCCAGGGCGAGCCAGTGTCTCTAGCCTCTGGGGCAGTCGCACAAACACAACACATAGTAGTATTTTTTTAATTTAATTTAAAGAGTAACACATACCTTTATTATCCAGGAAGATATTTGTTAAATATCTAGGCTATTTGGAGTACTTTAAGAGATTATTGATCAGCTTGGTTTTATTTTTTTAATTAAAGTGTATAAACTTAGCAGTGTGTTTCAAAGTCGCACAAAGATATGCACATGTTTTTTTGAACACTACAGTTTTTCCTTAGGAAAATTGCCCTAGGTGACCCAAGTGTGTTCATGAATGTTCTTGTAGTGATCATATACCCAAAGCTTTTAATAATTGAAGATTTAGTATGTGAGTTTATCACATCCACAGAGAAGATGTACTATAAAACTTTCATGTTTCATTTATTCCTGAATTTTGCTAGCATACTAATTGTGTGTGTCGTTCCCAAGAAAAGAAGTAAAACTGTGTACACATGAAGGGTTTTAGTGTAACCCATTCCTGAGACGGCCAACAGTAGCGAGTTAGTCAGGTATGGTACATGCGCTCAGGAACTCCGTACAGCCTTAAACGTGCATTTCAGAAGTACCTTTGGTGATTCAGATGGAGAGATGACTCAGTCAGTGAAGACCTGAGTTCAGAATCCCAGGACCCACGTCAATCTTAAGAAGCTGTCCATGGAAGGGAATCCTGGGATCCCAGCACCGTGAGGAGTGTGTCAGGAAGATTCCTAAAGCTCATTGGCCAGTCAGGCTAGCCAAATCACTGAATTTGGGGTTTGGTAAAAGGCTGTGTCTCCAAAGAATAAAGGTAGGAAGCATGTGAGAGAAAAACAGCCAACCCTGGCCTCCACATGTGCGTGCACGCACGCACGCGCACACACACACACACACACACACACACACACACACACACACACACATTCTAACAAATACTACACCACAAAATATTTATTCTAAAACACACTAAAATTATATATATTGGTTGATCCCAAATTTCAACTGGAGAGATAATATGTGGTATTTTAAAGTGAAGGATATGTAGAAAGGAAAGAGACTTGACTATATGCCAGATCTTCACAGTGTTGTTATTGATTTCTGTTTGTTTTGTAAATTCCTTTTTGTATCATTTATTTTTCTAGGATGATTATAAAGTATTACTTTGTAATTAGAAAAACCATCTTTATACTAAACCTATCTATATATGAGCCTTAGTATTTATGTTGGTATTTTGAAAAATATATTTTTTTCATAAAAATCCAGTAAATATTGTACTAATGTGGAATTCCAGTTAGACTCAAACTTATCCGTGAATAGATAGCTTATGTTGCCAATTCATAATGCAGAAGAGATTTGGGGGAGCATGCTTTTGCATGGAAGAACACTTTGCGTACGTTGAAAAGCGCACATGAGCCCCGGCAAATCATTTTTTCATCAGAGACTGTCCCCTAAGCTCCTCTTCCCGGCAGGTGAATTTGCATATCTGTTTGGTTTCTACAGAAGCAGGAGCCAAAATTCATCTGTTTGACTAACAGTCTGGCTTTACCCCACCCCTGCCCCACGCCAGTTGGAAGGTGGTGGTTTCTAACATACACACCTTATAATGGTCCCGTTCACTCTGAAAGCTTCAGGCAGACATCTTCTCACAATCTGGGTCTCTTTCTCACAGGTGATGAAAACGTACCACATGTACCACGCCGAGAGCATCAGCGCGGAGAGCAAGCTGAAAGAAGCCGAGAAGCAAGAGGAGAAGCAGATCGGGAGGTCGGGTGACCCCGTCTTCCACATCAGGCTAGAAGAGAAGCACCAGAGACGCAGCTCTGTGAAGAAAATTGAAAAAATGAAGGAAAAGGTAGGTTTGGAAATGCATCGCAGAGCCCTGGGCTCCTCATCGGAGGAGACAAGGCAGTCCTAAAAAGCCCTGATCCACCAGCGATAGACACACATGGTGAATTACTATGAAAAGACATGCATTTCCTCCCGGGGGAGCCAAGGATGTTAAGACACATGAAATTATGTCATAACAGCTGGACATCATTCCGTGGTGAATGCCAAGTATTCAGGACAGATCTGGAGAACTGGGATATTAACAAAGGGAGTTCGGTGGAAATGGGCCCGGAGCCCAAATGCATTGTTGTTATTCCCAGAGCCGGGGAAACTTTAGTTTGTTATTTAAATCACATTCGAAATGTACTTTCCACAAAAGACCCAAAGGATCATTTTTTATATATGGAAGAAATTGCTTAGATTAATGAAAACCCGCATGTGTTTCTGTCTTATTAAAAATGACTTCACTTCCATTCCTGATCCCTGTGTCTTCTTCCTTACCAGAGACAAGCAAAATATTCAGAAAATAAGCTGAAATCGATTAAAGCGCGGAACGAGTATCTCCTAACACTTGAAGCAACCAACGCCTCGGTGTTCAAGTACTACATTCACGACCTTTCCGACCTAATCGACGTAAGTACTTGAAGGTTTATGTACAGTGACTATCGTTTGTTAATGAGGGAAAAAATGCCATCGTTTATTGGAATAATGCATTTTTATGCCGTGCTCAGAAAAAACAAAACTCCAAGCTAACCATGCGTGATACCTTGACAGGATCAGCTGTGAGATGCACATGATAAAGCATAATTGCAAAAAAAGCCCGTGAGAGCAAATTGTTGTCCTGGTGGACTCAGCCAGAAAGGGCAGAATACGGTTTTCAAACTATGCCGTAGCACCACTCTAACTGTTGGTATCAGCTCAAACCGACTTACTAGGGCTGGGGCTATTGCTCATGGGTAGACCATTACCCTAGCATATTGCTCATGGGTAGACCATTACCCTAGCATATTGCTCATGGGTAGACCATTACCCTAGCATGTGTGAAGCCCTGAGTTTGATCCCCAGCCCTACCAACCAGCCTCAAGTGCTTCTTTTCCAGGTTGGTTTGGGGTTATTATTTGTCGGTGCCGGGGAGCAAACCAGACACCTCACAGCTGACTGACTACAACCCAGTCCCTTGATACATACACACATAAGTATATGCCGATATAAATCAATATAAGTATATGCAACGCGTATATAAACACATGCAAGGTTTCCAGAGTCTCCCACATGTTACACACCCATGAGTTAAGTGCTGAGTGCTTAAACACTCATGAGCCAAGTGCTGAGTGCTTAAGTCAGTTGTGCTAAGTACTTAGTGTACATCGAATAGTGCTGATTGGGGCTAAAGAGCTCTACATAACCTCCCTCCAACATTATTCTTGACACTGGGAATTCATCAGTGAACAAAACGAAGTCCTTAGCATTGTGCTCTTTAAATTATGTGTTGAGAGACAAACTATAAATGTGTGTGTGTGTGTGTGTGTGTGTGTGTGTGTGTGTGTGGTGTGTACACATTTAAAATAAGTACTGATGGTACCGTAAAGAAATATAAGATAGCCAGGCACAGTGGCGTACACCTTTAGTCCCAGCACTAGGGAGGCAGAGGCAGGTGGATCTCCATGAATTCGAGGCCAGTTTTGTCTTCATAGTGAGTTCCAAGCCAGTCGGGGTGACATAGTGAGACCCTGTCTCAAGTCAACCAAGCAAAAAGAAATGTTAGATATTGCCATGAGTGCTCTTTTTTTCCTGGGAAAAGGCTTGATATTTCAGCCAAGAAGTAAGCTGAGAGCCGCACAGCACCCAATCTGAGGACGCACAGCACCCAATATGAGGACGGAATCCCTCCCACGGAAGCACTGGCTGGGGAAAAGCTACAGAGGCCGACGTCTGTGCTGGAGATGGATGTGCCGCTCTCTGTAAGCACGAGGTGCTCATGGGATACTGAAAGTGGACGATCTAGTTGGAGCAGAGTGAGTGAAAATGAAGTGTCTGGAGGCGAGGGCAGCGTGAGACTGATCACGGTCATTGAGACAGTGAAGGGTCTGGACTCGGTGCTCAGGGTGATAAGAAGCCAGCGAAGGGCTTGAAGAGAGAAATGCCTTCGCCCAGTGTGTGTTTTGAAGACTGGAAACTTCGTGGGAAGAAGACGAAGGGCTTGACTGTTTCCTCATCAGAGAACGACAGCACCATTTGAAAGGATTAGCAGGACTAGGAGGTGTGGCCTTCTTGGAAGGAAGTGTGTCCCTGGGGGGTGGGCTTTGAGGTTTCAAAAAGCCCATGTCAGGCCCAGGTTCTCTCCCTCAGCCTGCAGATCAGGATGTAGCTCTCAGCAACTTCTCCAGCATGCTGTCCACCATGATGGTAATAGACGTAGCCTCTGAAGCTGGAAGCAAGCCCCCACCGAAATGCTTTCTTTCATAAGAATTGCCTTGGTCATGGTGTCTCTTCACAGCAACAGAACAGTGATGGAGACAGCTAGCCAGCAGGGATCTTCCTCCCCAGTGCTGGGATTTCAGGCATACACTGTGTCTGCCCTTTTTGTGTGGGTTCTGGTGACCCAAACTCTGGTCTTCATGCCTAAGCAGCAAGCACTTTACCTAGTGAACAGACCCCAGACTTAGATGTTTTCAACCTGCAGATCTAATTAACTCTGTTCTAAATAGATGATGGTTAAATGTGCGAAATGATTTTCAGTTTTTTTCAAAAGTTAGACTTCTGAAGATCAACCTTAAATTAGAAAATGTGAACAACTCCCAAAAGACGTGACTTAAACATGAAGTTTGAAAGAAATGACGTGAAGTCGGTTTGCTGTCAGAATCTGCTGAAACCGAACACTCTAAGATGAAAGAAAATACTTTTCTGTGCCTTGGTTCACTTTTTTAAGGCAATGTGAATGTGGACATTCTAAAATGGCCGCTTACTTTGTAGGATCCCATTTTGTACATATAGTAGTGATCCGGAAATCCATTAAGCTTGACCCTTCCTGGTGGAAAAGAAACTGCTTGATTATTATGCAAAGGTCCCTCAAATCCTTTCTGCTGTGTGAGTTTATTTAATAATGTGCATTTCATTCTGAGCTATCTGATATTCTTGCTCTGTCTCTGATGAGAAGTCAAGACGGCGTCTTTAATGCAGTTGAGATGGCATGGAAGTCAGTAAATGCATCTCTATAAAGTCAGAGAATTGAAGGGGAGACCTTTTGATAAAAATCTTCAGGTCGTCCATCTCTTCTCACACCCATATCCAACAAATTTGCTGTGACAGATGATCATAAATAGGTCTATTCATAGGACAAAAAGTCAAGGATTTTCCACAAAATACGTACTTTAAATTATTTTATTAGTACAGGACCAGCACACATAGACTACGGAAAATCTAAAATGCTTCCAGCCGTGATGAAAGCACCATGCTCATGCACCTGAGATTATCAGTGATAAAACTCAGATTTACAAAAGGCTGGGCTGTGGTGGCGCACACCTTTAATCTCAGCACTTGGAGCAGAGGCAGGTGGATCTCTGTGAGTTTGAGGCCAGCCTGGTCCACAGAGCGAGATCTAGGACAGGCACCAAAACTACACAGAAAAACCCTGTCTCGAAAAAAAAAAAAATAACCTCAAACTTACTGTACCCTCCTCCCCCTACACACACACACACACACACACACACACACACACACACACACGCACGCACGCACGCACGCACGCACGCACGCGCACGCTAGACAAGGAAGATGTGGAGTCATAGTTTACATACACTGTTTAACCTGCTTTTTTATTTTCCCACTAGTGCCCTCAGGGGGTGCATTCCCATTTCTCACCCCAAATTGTGTTTCATAGCCACTTTATCTAGATCATACCAGATTGAGGATGGTGCAGGACACTTCCCTGGGCCACGTCCACATGTCCATTAAGTCTTTTCTGGACAAAACCCTTATTGAAGAGACAGCAACTCCTCAGAATACCTCAGCTTCTGGATTTGTCTGATCACATCTCTGTTGAGGGCTTTGCTGTGTTTCTCTACCCACTTGATATTTCCTACAAAATGATCTTTAGAGGAAGGCTCCATGAACTCAAGCTGGCCACCACTCCACAGTAGGCTACATCATAAATGACGCGACTGCACCTTGTGTAACAGCTGCGGTTTAACTCCCCGAGAGCAAAGCTAACATCAGCTTAGCGTGATGTGGCTCTAATTCCCCATCACAGTGTTAAGTGTTTTCCCTTACAACAGATAAAGGTATGCCAAAGTCTCTTAAGTCTGGAGTTTGCTGAGATGTAGTATTTTGGAACTTGGCAACACCTGAGCTATAATTTACTTCTGGTTAGCAAAACCCATCCTTAGGTTGTAAATTAAAGGAAAATCAAGGTTGTTGGTTTGTTTTTCAATATAATTGAAGCACAAGATTAATCGATTTGCATATATATCAATGATGCCCTAACTAATTCAATAGCCTCCTTTTGACTACTAAGGCTGAAAATTTTAATAGTCAATTCAACACTTTCATAGACCTGTTCAAATCTTTTTTTATTTATTGGAAGATTTGGGGATACTTAAAAATTATTTAATAATGCTAATTTTTCTGTTTTGAATGAGCAGTGCCTTTATTTATCATATTGGAATTGGCAAGTTTAATCTTTCTCTTTCAGAAATGCCTGACACAATAGAAAAATCCAATACTTACAAAACAAAGTGGCTCTTAGAGCCTTATTAGGATTTCAGTCAGTGTTAGGGCCTTGATTGTGCCTTTTGAGATCAACGGATTCATTTTAAGATGACTTTTGTCATTGAGTGCATGACTTTAGTAAGTATTGGAGGTAAATGGGTGTCTTAGTATAAAGTATTAAATATAAGTCAACTTTTTGGTACGAAAGATAGTGTGAGGAAGAATATGATAGCTTGGCTATTATCCAAGCATCTGGTTTTTGTTGTTGCTGTTGTTTGGGGGTTTTCTTTGGGGGGGGGGATTGAAAATACGTGAATGCTAAGTACAAGCAATGAGTAGAGATCTCTGGCCCCAGGCACACTCTGAAGGGGTGTGTGGACACAGCAAGTGTGAGCTTTATGGGTGATAATGTCAGCTCTTCACAGAGCAGCAGCATGCCAAAGGAAGGACACAGTCACTTCATTTTTGCTTGGAACATGTTTCGGTTTCTACAGTTTGCATGTGTTGTTTCTATCCTTGTCCAGGGAAAGGCAGAGGAGGGGTGGTGAGTAGGAGGAAGCGCGTGGGAAACTCTCGAGACAGCAGTCATCCCTTGTTTTAGATTTATTTATTCTATGTGTATAACTGTTTTGCCTGCGTGGATGTATGTGCACCACATGCATGTGTGGTGCCCTCGAAGGTCAGAAGAGGGTGTTATATCCCCTGGAGGTAGAGCACAGGGTGGTTGTGAACCACCATGTGGGAGCTGGAAATTGAACCCAGGTCTTTGGCAAGAACAAGTGCTCTGTGCGTGTGTGTGCACACATGCTCATTGGTGTTTTGCCTACGTGTATGTCTGCATGAGGTGTCAGAAGCCCTGGAACTGGAGTTATAGACAGTGAGTTGCCATGTGGGTGCTGGGAATTGATCCCAGGTCCTCAAGAAGA